ATTCCTGAATTCCTGCTAGGTAAAGAAATCCAGATGAAACTCCATAAGGCAGTTGCACAGGGGTTTTCTCTTCTACATTCCCTACTTAAGTCAGCTTTAGAGGTGAAGGCAGTACAAGTTAGAGTAGAAACCCCAGAATCTGGTCCACATTTTTCTCTTCTATTGACCTTTAACATAAGCATATTGGGTAAAATTCCTGCCTCAGAAGTCAGTGGTAAAGTTTCCACTGCCTTCAGAAAAACTGGCTTTTTATACCTTACATATTTTCCCATGAACTACCATGCACATCTTAGGCACTCAATAAAAAAATAACATAAATATATTTACAGTTGTGTTAATTTTGTTCATGTATCACTGCACACTTTAACTCCTTATTTCTGCACCGCAAGCTGTCTCATCCTTGATAACATTAACAAAGCAATATTATTTTGAGGAATAACAAAGTTTAAATTCTCTTTCTAGATTTCTATAGAGGGAAACTCTACAAGATCTTTTTTCCTGTACAGAAATACATTTGACCTTATAGGTCTGTCCATAAATTCATTCTTTAATAGCTACTGCAAGTCTGCATTTTAGGGTTCACTATCAATGAACCCACTCTCTTTGAAATGTTTCTTCATTCCATAAATGACAGAGATAAAGGTGTTTTAATCCTCCAGATATAAATGCAGTAGTGTTTTTGAATCACTGGTTCAGTCACATACAGTGTAATGGGGCTACTTCCCCTAATGGAGTGCTTCTTTCTAGTCTATTGAACATTCATTCCTGTCAACAGCATGAGTGCTTGTTGATGGCCAACCCTCAGCTCTTACTTCTCTGAATACATCATGCTCTTTTAAAAATAGATGCAATTTATTTAGTTGGCTATTTGAAATAGAAAAAAACAAATTATCAGTCCAGCTCAGAAATCCTGCCCATTGTGATTTTTTTTTGTCTGTACTGAACTGCAAATAATTTCGAAGTCAAACCAGCAGAGCAGATTTACATATCTGTAAGCACCACCAGAAATAAAACTATTTGCACTTATCCATAATAAGTTCCATTAGAGCTTTAGAACACAATAATGAATTTGGTATTGAGGCACATAGACATAAGTAACTTCCCCACAGACAAAAAATTACAATTGTGGTAGAGCCTGGAATTGAACCTAGACCTCCTGACTCACAAGCCTGCTCCTTAACTCCAAGTCTATTCTTCTAACATGGAGTATAGAGGTCCATTACAAAAGGACTTAAGATATGTAAATCCAACATATGGATGTTCAAATGAACAGTTATGCTTGCAATATTTTTGGACCATAAGTATCTATTTGAGAAGGCAATTATGAGATTTCAGAAACATATACTTCAACATATAAATGCCTAAAATTCATATTCTGGCATTAGTCTTTAAATCTATTCTTATAATTGAAACTTACCTTATTTATTCCAATATAAGACAACCCTAAATATAAGTTGAGCCCCCCATAACTGAATTCAATATATGGAAAATTTATAAATGTGTTATAATTTCCAGGTATAGAATGTGGTTATCAAAGGTTTGCCTTGAATTTATCCCCTGTCCAGTGCTACAGCAGGGAAAATAAATGTGGGGAATGAGTGTCCCTCTTGGCTTCTGCTCCACCCCAGTTCTTGCTCCTGCAGCCTCCCCCCGCAGCGCACAGACACCCTGTCAGAACCTGCTCTTCCTAAGCACATGGAAGTAAAGGGAGAATTTGAAAACACTGATTTTGAAATAAATATACCTGTGCTAATTTGCATATCAGTAAAGTACTATGGGTACCCATAGACTAAGTTCATCCAGAATTGATGCATTTTACCCTTTTTGAAACTGCTACAAGTTTTAGCACAGGTACTCCATAAACATACTTTTAAGTAGCACTTTTGTACCTACTTGTATATAGTACTAACTGGGTGCATTTACACATGCACTCTACTGCAAAGTTGACTGATTAGCTATGCAGTAAAGAATCCCTGTCCACACGTGCACTGGTATTAGGGTGTAGTAAATTAATTAACTCCACCATAATATAGTAGTGTCAGGGACAGTACTATCTTATGGCAGAGTAACTAAGGGAAACAAAATGCATGTGTAGATGCCTGGGCCCAGAAATTTATCACTCTCATGCCCCAGCCAGCCCCTCCACTGCCTGACACCACCACCCAGAGCCTGGGGTTGACCCCCTGAGCCAGCTGCCAGCCCAGACCTTGCCCCAGCTCACTACTGCACCTGGGAGCAGCTGACTCTTGCTCAAACTACTCCAAAGCTTAATACATCACATTAATGTCATGTGTAGATACACCTTCTATGTATGATATTAGTCCAAAGCCAAAAGGCTCAGTTTATTTTGCTGGGCCCCACCAGCGTCAATAGTGTTTCAAGCCATGGTGACCCCGCCACACAAAGGATCCATGTGATAATTAGTTCCCCACTCATGGGTGTTCTTATCACTGGGAGTCCTAGGATCCTGCAAAAATGTATATGCAGATGAGGCACAGAGAAATCCAGCTCCATCTCATGGAGGGCAGGGCCACACTAATCATATGTGACAGGCTGAAATGGGGGGTAACGGAGGGATTTTGGGTGAACTGTTTGCGGACCAATTTGGTGAAGTTTGCCAGACATTAAAGGTTAGCTAAGAAACAGGAATCATTGGAAAAAAGGAAAGAAAGAAGAGCTCAGCTGTGGGAGTGAAGAGATAGTCTAAATGTATTAATTGTAGTGGCTCACCATGACTTGAAAAAGAGTCAGTATTGAGGGGGACTGAGCACAAACAGCACTACCATATATCTTATTCAGATAAACTGTATTAATGTGCCCTTGTGGTAGGTTCCTATCAGTATGTTTATTCAACATGGACCATGTGTTTAGAGTAATGCTCAGTATTGGCTGCATTTAATCTGTTTCATAGTTGGTTTCCATTACTCAGTACATACTACTTTTGGCAGCAGCTTAGTGATACATAACAGGATTTTTCATATGCAAATATGAGTTCCTTTTTTTCCCCATTCTGGCTGGGGTGGGGAGGGGGAAGCCTTATTTTATACTCAAGTAAATATGGGAATTAATTTTAAATGCATTCTAAACTCTCTATATATGTTCATTTGATATTCAGTTCAATCATGAATATAGCTACTGTACAAGGACCCACTGCTATTTGAGATTATAGGGTCTGCCTATTAAGAAACACTTTCAAGAAACACACTGTATCTCCTAGTCTGTAACAACTTTAACAGTTAAAAGTAATTTATCAATGTAAACCCTTATTTCCCCACAGGACAATGATTTATTATATACCTGTACTGGACTGTACAATTCCAGAGTCCACAGTTTGCCCCAGGAGGTCATATTGGTTCAATCGAGAACCGTCATCAGCCACAACCACAGATTTTGCTGGTTCTCGTGTCCATTCATACACCACTTCTGCCCTGGTATAGGCATCTGGTATAAAAGAAAAACATTTCATGTCCCAGATCTTCATGTTACTGCAAAGATAGTGCAAACCCTTTCATGTCTGACAGGATGAGATCAATCTATTCCACATCTTATTCTTACCATATAGCACATGGAATCTGGATTACCTAACTTCAAAGTATTCAGTGGGCCATAGATATTTTTCTGGCTTCTAGCCAATGGTAAGAAACAACAGCTCCAATCTTCTGATCCTAAATACAATCCAATTTGTCCTACTGGAACCAAGTATACCTTCCCCAGCTCAGCCTCACTGGCCTTTTCTTCATCATCATCTACCAACCACTGTACCACTCAGCTTGTTTCATAAAGCTTAAGTGGCACAAAGACTATCTCTGCAGCAGTCTGTGCTTCAATGAATGTATAACCTGATGAGTCTATTTTTCTACAGAGGTATTTCTGGACGGAGTTCAAAGTGCTTTTCTTTGCTCACACTTATCCACAACTTCTATAAGCCAGACAAAGCAAAAATAAAAGTTTGTCAATTCACTGTAGACTCTCTCTTTTCTTCCCAGTTCTACTTAGCCTCATATGTTATGTGAAAGGGTGCTTATAGACATGCTTCAGGAGGTGGGTGGGGGAGGGGTTCTTTAATTAGCAGAGCTCCAAGAGCCACGCTCATTAAAGTTCCTGGAACATCATGTGTATCAGTGTCCCCGGGCTGAAAAATGGTGGTGGGGCGCTTTGAACTAAACCTTGTTGAACAAGCTTTAAAGTGCCCTGCCACCATTTTTCAGCAGCGGGCACTGATACAGATTCACAGAAATTTAGGGCAGGAAGGGACCTCATGAGATCATTGGGCCCAGCCCCACTTGGATCACCCATCACTTCTAGTGTATTATTCTGTGGTCTCAAGGAATTAGGACATTTAATGTGAGATCTTGTCTTACATTGAGAGCATGAAGCAGACAGAAGAGCATGAGCATCTTATTTAGCTGTCCTGATCTGTAGGCTAGGAGTTTACTTTATCAGTTTGTGAGATGTACATAGAAGCTGGGGAGATGGAGTTGGATTGAGAACAGGATTTCAAAACGGCTGAAAACTATAAATTCCATTGGAAGTCATTGGATTTGTCAGTGCTCAGTTTTTTTGCAATCAGTTTGTCTAGTTATGTAACTACAGACTGTCAGCTTTGGTTTGACATTCGTGTTGTAGATTTTCCCTCCCAGCTACAAGTTCAGGTGCTGTATGAGTTGTAATATTTACCTTCTGCTCCTGTTATCACTGTGTGCTCTCTGAAGTGACCTTGAACTATATGGGTGGAAGATGCGAACTGAAATGATAATCAGATTCTACTGGATAGAGGTAAGGAGAACATCTGCCTTTCTGTTATTGTTCTTGCCAACATATGGCTTTTTGTTGTTCCAAAAGCTTCTTTAGCATTTGTTACACAGAGCTTCAATAAACTGGAACATCCTCCAGCTTAAGCTGATATGCTGGCAAGTTGTTTCAGACTTGGAGCTGGGTCAAACATTTACTGGCCTTGACAATGTGGTCATAGTCCATGGAATATGTGTGGCATGTGTCTGGAATGAGGCCCTTCTAGAATCAGCTCCAGCAAATGATAAATAATAGTGTCAGAATAGGAAAAACTCCTTTCCAGTGCAATTCAATACAGGCAGTTCTGGATAGCCTCAGTCTTGTTGTGCCATTAGTGATAACCATGTGATTTTAGCCTATAGAGTGTTTTTTTGTGACAACGATAAATCTCTATTCAGGCTAATACTCCCTTAGGTTCATTCAGACAAATTTGTGCAATTTACTCAAATTATGCAGTGAGTCAGGGACCCATGAGCATTGAAATACAATCCTTATCTGGAGATAGACAACTAAGTATCAGGCCTAACCTCCCTCTGTCATATGAAAATCTCAACACAGAAAACCATTGCCATCTTTCATCTAAATGAATGTCTTTAACTCATTATTTTTCCAAATAAAAATGAAATGGAGGTGATATCATGGCAAAAGATTTTTTATATTCCTAGGTAACCTAAAGGGTGACTAACATGTGTGACAAGACCAGTCTCTGCATGTGGTACACAAAAGATCTGGGCTGGGGGCAGGTGGCAGCAGGAGAGGACAAATAGCACAGCAGCAGGTAGAGGAGGAAGAGGGTAAGAGTGGCACTGGGGGAGTGTGTAAAGTTAATTTGTAGTATGCTTGCCAAAAAGGTTGGCCCCCAGTGAAAAGAATACTGTAAGTAATATACAGTGGTAATGAAAAATAAGATGATGCACCATTAATGGTTTTTGACCTGGATGCTTAAAATAAGGCTTAGGTATCAGCCAGATAAACAGAAATGGTTTGATAGACTCAGTGATTAAGACAGGCTTTACCTAGAACTATGAGTTTTCTACCTGGCTAAGTGAACTTAAGTTTCCACAAAAGAAATATTTTTTGTGGACTCACAAGGCTCCAGTTAATATACACATTGTGACTGACAGCTGTACAAAAAAATTGCCAAGACTGCTATTGCAGGTCTCTTACACACTTAGCATGTGTGTGTAATGTGTGTTTATGGTAATACATCTCTGGTGAGGGAGCTTTTAAACATACCAGTCAACATAACATTTGGCTCTGACTAGTTTAAATAAATCATTAGCCCTACTTATTCAAGTCAAGAGTAAAACTTCCATTGATTTCAGTGCAAGGTCAACCCCCTAGTCCCTATTTAGTGTATTTTAAAAGGAGTCTTATATGCACTGGCATTCAAAATAGGAAACAAAAAACAGTTCTTGAAGGCCAACTAATGCATGCAAGTACCACTATAGTTTGGGATTTTTTTTTAATTTTATGAATTAAATGTGTGCGTATGAATGCGTGCATGTGCATACATGTGATATTTTATATATTTCTATATATTCACATTATCTGCTTTGCTTTCAAACATTATTTTTAATATCCATTAAGATTTCCTTTCCCAGCTGTTTGTGGCAGTTGTCCAGGTAAACGTGGAAAACCAAGAAGTTTGTTAAGCAAGAACACCCTAACCCTGATTTACCTAACAAAATTGAAAGAGATTACTTCAGTTCACAATGTTTGTTTCTTGTCAATTCCCTGGACCATCACAGTAATTATAATGCTGCAACATAACTGAAAGAAAGCTTGGCATTCAAGCAGATAATATTCCAGTCAGCTGCACTTTTCATTTTCAAGAGTGTTTTATACCCTGAATCCCAGAACTATACAAAATCTTTTGCAAAAGATTGGCACCTCTTTAAAAACAAAAGATCAGTCCTTTCTCATAGTAAATATATGGCTATACAGAGCTAAGTAAATTATCCTCTTGTCTGATATCCAGTAAGGAAAAAAATGGGTGTTTTTGTTGACTGCTAAAATAGATCAAGTCACTAAGTATCTATTATCAGTGAAATGACCCATTTCTACTAGAAAAAGAAACAACCATTGAGGAAACAATTTGTACCCTATTAAATTTTCATTTATGTTCCTTCTCTTTTCATGTTGAACCAGCAAAAGTAGATGGGCTTTGGTTCTTTTCTTCTTCCAAATGCCTTCTCACAAGGCATTCTTTTTAATTATTTCTAACTAAATTGTTAAGATACATATATTTATCTTTAGGTGAATGCTAGATTCACTACTTGATTGTGTTGTTTGAAATAAAGCCCTATTAAAATCAGTGGCAAAACTCTTATTGATGTCAATGGATTAGGATTTTACCCTCTGAGTTGGCTAAACTAAACTGAAAATATTTCAGCAGTGGTACTTTGGGTTGTTTTATAAGGTTGCCTAAACAAATTACATAAAATCATAATTTCAAATTATATTTTGGTAATTCTACTTTGTCAGCAGACTTTTATAAAAGTCACATGGATAGTTGAGAACTTTAGAAAACAATGGATTTGTTTTTAGTTGCAAAATGTGCAAAGTTTGGAAAGGGAGTCATTTTCATCTGAATCAGTTCCTCTAACAAGGGTCTATGCTACTTGTCTCACTAGTTTTTTAATTAAAATCAATTACATTAAAGCTTAATGAGGGGTTCAGTAATACCATACTGTAACACAATTCTCTATATCTTTGGAATGTAGCCATTTCCCCCTTTCTGTAGGGTGTAGGCATGATGTTAATCCATTTAAATTGCAAAGGTGATAAAAGTACAAGATTTAAGGCATTTAGATTATTTGATCTGATGTGATATACTACTGTAGTGTGAACTTAACAGGGAAAAATCTTAGTTAAAAATAAACTTACAGCTTCCAAATTTCAAGGGGCAGGCATGTGCATCCATAGGAAAGTCTTCTAAATGCATTGGACATTCTGCTCTCACTGTCAGCCTACACAGATGAGTGCAAAAAAAAATTGTTTTATTATAGTCTTACAGAGCTAGCATACAAAATCATGTAAAATATGTAAAGGCGTCCATAATAAATAAACCATGCATTTTTCTGTATGATTGATAAGAGAGATCCAGATAAATGTCACATTCTCAAGCTTGAAGGAGGTTGTTTGCAATACAATATCATTTGCCAAATGGAATCTACTATCATCAGTCTTGGTATAAATGTTTGCTCAGTTCTAGATATTGCTTGTTTAGCCTGATACCATCCATAATTTTTGTAATAGTTTGGGGCCTATTTCTATATATTTCCCACAGAATTCTTGTTGCCTTATCAAAGATGCGAGTACTAGGACAAAAATGGACAAAACACTAACATTTCTATGTAATTTCTTCTTTAATAACTATGTGTTATGGTTTCTAGCTATTGGCATTAACTGTTGGAAAACAGGCCACCTTTTCATATCAATGATGATATAAAATATGAATCTACTATAAATCCAATATAGTTAATGAGGTATGTTCTATTGATGCCAATGAGCATTGGATTAGATGTGGGGGAATTCCTCCTAAAGACATATTTCTGTTTAATAATGAACCTCATCAATGAGTTAGTGCAAATGCTACATGGAAGATGGGAATCCAGGAAGAAAGAATTTGTAATCTAGGTTTAAAACTGATTTCCAAAGAAACAAAACTTTTGAAAAATATTGTATTTACGAATCCACAGTAAAGCTGAATGTCTGAAAATCTGATTCTTAAGATGCAAAGAACATACAAGTTCTGTTAACCAGCATCTTACAAGCCAGCATGCTCAATTAACTGGCATGCTGGCTTATAAGATAAAGTGAAACCAGAAGTGCCCACTGTGGCACTTCTGGTTTCTCTGAAGTCCGAGCCCCCACAGACCAGGGGCATAACAGGCTGTGTGGGGCCTACCTCCCTGTCCCACAGGGCCCGCAGGGCCAGTAGGAGGGGCGGTGATGCTGCGGGAGGGGTGGAGGGACGCCCCAGATGCGGCAGGAGAAGCGGTGGCCCAGGCTGCTCAATTAACCAGCATATTTTGTTAACTGGCATCCCCCAGGAATGGGGGATGCCAGATAACAGAGATTTTACTGTATTTACCTCTAATTCTTTAGATTCATTTCATCCCTTTGAAAGGCATATTTTCAGAACATTCAGTACTGTTTCACTAAAGATATACTAGTGCTAATGTCAACCCAACTGAATATAAAACTCATGTATTACAGTCTAATCTGAGTGTAAGGATCTAAATACATCCTCTTTACAGAAAGTTATAAATCCATACAACTTTCCCAACTACTAAAGAACCATCAGAGAAACAACACCAATACCATACAACATTCCAACCTCACAATCAATGAAGCTGAAGGAACCAGTCAACCCTCAAATATTATCAATAAACTCCACGTACACACTTACCAAAGCTGAAAAATCTGTCCTCTCTAAAGGCCTTATTTTCTGTCTGGAAAAATACCCTAATAAGATACTACAATGTGGAGAACTAGAAGAATTTTTCCGATGCCTCCGTCTCAAGGAATATTTCCACAACCAAAATGAATCCACTTTCAACAACACTTCATCCTGTGACAACACAGAGGAAAAGATTAACACCAAAAAATCCAAAAAATTATCAGATTGGACACCTCACAATGGACAAAATTCAAACCTTGACCTCTATATTGACTGCTTCAAAAAAAAGAATGTACAATGAAATAATCAACAACAAAAACCACTATAACAACCTCTCCTTCTCAGAGAGAAGGGCCATAGAATCTCTAAGATCCAACCACCAAATAGTAAAAAAAAACATATAAAGGAAGAGCTATAGCTATCTTTAACTGAGAAGACTACATAAAAGGAGGCAACAGACAGCTCTCTGACACTACCGACTATGAAAACCTAGAGGAAGATTCAACTCCCCTTTTCACCTGAAAACTCAAAATCGCCATCACATCATTTCCATCTGAACTACAAGAAAATCTACACAACTTGGTTCCCATGCTATCCAGTCCAGGGACTTTTTACATGTTCCCTAAAATCCACATACAAGGGAACCCAGGCAGACCTATAATATACAACCATGGAATCCTAACTGAGGAAATGTCAGGTTTCATTTAATCCATCCTAAAACCTCTTGTCACCCAAAGACTGAGTTTTGTGTAAGACACAACAGACTTTCTACAAAAACTTCAAAACCCTCCCCAGCAATCCCCCCCTAGCCACCATGGATGTTATGAGCTTATATATGAACATCCCACACCAGGATGGCATCCAAGCCTGTCTTACATATCTACAAGAGCAAGATTACAACTCAGAATACAGATCTAAAAATATTAGTGAACTTATACAATTCATCCTCACACACAACAATTACAGTTTCAATAACCAACACTTCTTCCAGACCATGGGCACAACTATGGGTGCCAGAATGGCCCCACAATACGCCAATCTTTGTATGGCCCACCAAGAAGAATTCCTTGAGAAGTGCACCATCAAACCCATGCTATATATAAGATACATAGATGACATCTTCATCATTTGGACCAAAAAACCTGCAGTCTCTAATCAGTTTCCATCACAAATTCAATAACCATCACCATTGACCCCCCCCCCACACACACACACACACCATCAGAGTATCTCTTGTCTACTCTAGCACCAACATTTCCTTTTTAGACACTATGATCAATACCCAGAATGGTAAAATACAAACCACCATATACAAGAAAATAATGGAACAACATACATATTTACACAGAACCAGCACTCACCCTAAACACACCAAGAAAGCTGTAGCATACAGCCAAGTCCTCCAATACTACTGAATTTTCACTGAGGAGAACACCCACAGTTATCACCTCACAAATATCAAAAGGGCTTTCACCCAACAAGGACACTCTTCCAGAGATAGATCGTAGTTTTGAAAGAGCCACCCAGATACCACATGAAGAATTGCTGAAGTAGAAAAAGAAAATCCCCATGAATTGCACACCCTTGATTATTACACACTATCCTTGCCTGGAATTTATATGGAAAATCCTCAAATAACTGCAATCCATACTAGAAGAAGACCCAATTCTCAAAGAGATCTTTCCAGAACCACCCATTCTAGCCTTTAAACAAGCACTGAACCTCATCAATGTCATCACCAGAAGCAAACTTCCAATGGCCCAAAGGACACCAAGTGGATCCAGACCATGCCAAGACAAAAAATGTAAAACCTGTCAACATATCTCCACCACTTCCACAATAACTACACCCCACAATAGAACCATTACCATGCCTGGATCTTACACCTGCACCTCCAGAAACGTAATATATCTCATCCAGTGCACTAAATGCCCTGATGGAAAATATGTAGGAAAAACCAAACAACTACTGCATACCAGAATGAATGCTCACAGAAAATCTATCAAAGACAAAAATACCCAGTTACCTGTGGGTGCACACTTCTCACAAAATAGCCACTCTCTCTCCAGTCTCTCAGTTTTAATCCTCAAAGGGAATTTACAAAACACCTTTTGTAGATGAGCTTATGAACTTTATTTCATAAATCTATCAGATACAAAAAATCATGGACTAAGTATAGATATTGGATTTATGGCCTATTATAACCTGCCTGCCATCTCATAACCCTAGGTAATCTGTCTGCATTTCACCAGCTACATTCTATCACCAGTTCTACATTCCTCCTTCCTCCCACCCTCAACTTGTCTCTCCCCTATTGTTTCCCATTGTTCAGATCCTCACTGCTATGCATTTGCATTTTCACAGACCTGCATGTTGCATATTGGCTTGTATTCTACCCAGGAGAGGACACAAATATCAACAGACTCTCTTTATGCCTGAAGAAGGGTGTTTGTGCTTAAAAGTTTGCAAAGAACAATGTTTCAAACAATTTAGCTGGTCTAATAAAAGATATCACATCTACCCAAATAACCTTGTCTACTTAAAACCAGGTAGTGCATTCCTTACTGTGGCAAATTCTTCATAATGTCATATGATAATTTTTTTAAATTTTTCAACAATATGTACACATTAGGAGAACTCCTTGTCTAATAAATGTCCTTGTGGCTAAGATTTCTCCTATGCTATGTACAATTCTAAAGTAGTTTAGGGACTGAAATTTAATTAAAACTAAAATATTTGCTGTTGAATTAGGCTGATTGAGACTTTCAATTAAGTTTCTGAATGACAAAACAAATTTATTTAATCAGCTGGGGTACAAAGGTACTGGTCAGTAAACCAGATATAATATAGGTGAAGACTGATGCAACAAGATGTGTATTGTCCCTAAAAAAGTCAAACATCACGCATTAGCAAGAAAAGGAAAATAAGGCTAGGGACAGAAATTACACATAAATTGGTATGAGTGATTAGAAACCACTTCAAATCTGTAACACAACAGATCTTCAGTGCACATAAACTGCTTTCAAAATGGCTATTGCTTATCTGTTCAATCTACGCAGTTTAGACTAACCTGTGAAGACTGAATCAATCTTCAGCCTCGTACTTTTTGACTGTCTGTATCTAGCCTAATACTTATATACCATGCAAAGAGATTTTTGCAGACAAGTCGCTTGTAAAAGTGGAAGCAAGTGGACAAACATTCAGTTTTGCTTCCAGAAATGCAGCCACATGCCTTCAGGGGCCCAGGCCAGAAGCTGCGGGGGGTGCTAAGGCATGGCTCCCTGCTTGGCTGGAGCAGACACCTTAGGCCAAGGCTAGCCCACCCACTCTGTGAGGTGGGGGGGGGTGGGGTTGTGCGTGAAGTGCAAAGCATCTGGGGATGCTGGGGGACTGTGAGTTAACTTGAATCTATAGGGGATCTGGGACAGAAGTTCAATAAACTGATTTAACCTAAATAAGTTCAGTCTGATACTACATCCATCCAGGTTTATCTTAAACTGGTTTCAGACATTTTGAAAGCAGTTTATGCGCACTGAAAATAAAAATAATAATGGTCAAAAAGACACATTTAAACAATGTGCTGTCATGATAATACACATATGCTTTAAATCCCTAACAAACAAGCATCTGGGGAGACCAGAGAAATTGACCTACACCTGCATAGTTGTGAGCCCTGGAGTTCCAAACCAGCTTACAAAGACTTGAAAGATGTTTTGGGATACATTGATCCCATCAAATATGTTCAAGCGTCCTGGAAATTAATTTTCTTTCAAAATATTTCTTGCCACTTGACCCCATTTTTGAGGGGGAAAAAATTAACAGAAGCATTAAGAAAACTCTTGATGCTCAAAAAAGTATCACTCTATCTTGATTCTTAATCTACAGAATTATTTTTATACATTGATTTCTAGAGAGACAATATTTGATAATGGGCAGCTGTTTAGAGATAAGCTACTATTTATAAAGTCTGTTGGTCCCAAAACTGTTGATCATATATTACAGTACAACAAATATGGAAGGTTAGGTGGTTTGCTGATTAGTGATTAGCCCAATGTCACCAATATCTGAACTATTCATGAAATGGAGTAACACATTAATAATAAAGAGAGTATTTCCTCAGTGAACATTAATCTACTATTCAGCATTTTAAAATTCTTCAGATAGCTTGGTTTTCCGTCTAAAAAGATTAATATCTATTTTTAGACCTTAAAGTCCTGGGTTTCCTATGAACTTGAAAAGCAAACGGTAGACTCTGTGCACTCAGAATCTATTTCCAACAAAACTTAAAAAAATTAAAAGAAATACCTTTTTATGTTGTCCCTAACTTATTAAAGTGTGAGCATTAAACTTTCCAGTTTCATTGTGTTCTTAGGTTGGGATCTTGAAAGCAATTCCAATTTCATCACCATGGAAAGCCAGCAGATGTTGGATGCCTAATTCCTTTAAGTGAGTTTTAAAATCAGAGCATTAAAGCACTGGCAGAGTGTGAAAGTGGGTATAGTACAGAAAAAGAAAAAAAATCACTCCCAGCTCCTGAAAGTATCAGTTTTTCTATACTCTATTATGAAAATGATGACAGAAATAAAATTCAAATACAGTTGTTTTCAGAAAGGAACATATCTGTTTTCAGTTTTAAAAGCACATTTTAATAAGCAATACTTTCAAATTAAATGGGAAAAAAAAACTTTGCCTTCATACTCTCACCTCATTGTATACAGCAGTGTCCCATCTTCTGTAATACGTAATAGTTTGTTAGGCATTGTCATATTGTGAGCCACAGACTTCTTTCCATTGTGGAAAAAGGTGTCAGGTGTCCAAATCTTGCTGGCCATTAAATTATTCAGCCGGAGAACTGTCATGGGTCCTTTAAATTTTAGTCTCTCATCTCTCCAGCTTTGACGAAAAAATACATCTATTGTATATTCCTAGATCAAGTCAGACAATGGGGAAATTCTCAAAATGTGTTATGTTGCAATACAAATGTTTGACAGATATATGTTTATCATTTTTTATAAGAACAACATTTTGAGAACACTATAATATAATGTTGGCAATACATCTATGTGTGCATTAAATCTATTATTAAACTTGTTACTGATGTCAGGTCAACAAAGATTAGGAAAAGCATAGAAAATATTAATATCAAAAGAAACCTTAATAGTGGATACTGATGTTGGATATTAGTTTGCAATATGATATAGTAGCAAAGAAAGCAAGTGATAGTTTTTAAAGTAGTAAAAGAATTCATTAGGTCAAATCATTGAGTTGTGTAAAATATGAGTCAAGTCAAGGTTTAGACCTACAACTATGGAAAGCTAGACAATAGAAAGAAATAACGTGAATGGGTCTCTTATTATACCAATTCAATATTACTCTGAATTTGTGGCAATGTAAATGTGAGGAAAATTAATTTGTGTCAATAAACATTTTTCACCCTGCAATGAAAGACTAACCTAGGATTAAATGGAGGAAATTAGAAAACACCTCCTGACAATAAAATAAATAAAAAAGAGAACAGTTTTACAAAGGAGCGGTTAAAATATTTAAAATTAAATGGAATAAAATAGAATAATAATCTGTAAGAAACAATTATGTACTGACCTGGAGTTGAACTGTGACCAAAGGTCTTTTCCATCTCTGACTGCTATGATGGTGGGAAGCTATTTAAAGTCTCTACAGTTTAAAATGACACTGGACAAATTTTGTTCAGGCTCTGATACAACATTTCTCTAAAACTTGTTGGCTAAATCCCTGCCATCCCTGAAAATATATGCCCATTGCATATATATTTACAAGTAAGGAGTCTACATTCATCGTAGAGTGCTGTCAACAGAGAGGCATTCTAGAATGAATATTGGAAGAAATTTGGTTCTAGACCTCATTGTAACAGACTACCTTAAATCTTTAATTTGTTTTAACAAAGGGCAATACTGGATGAACCACAAAGCATGGTGAGCTGTTTAACATTAAGTCTGCATTTAAAGCCTGCTTGGACAAGGAAAGTTACAATATATCTTTCTGCTTTTCTTGTTTTTATGGCATGGAATTCATAAATAAAAAATTAATATGTGTATTATTGTACATAACATTATTACTTTGTTCTACTCCAGCAAGCCATGTGCTCAATTTAAGCTACATCAGTATCTTTATGATTTTAATCACCCATATTAAATACAGGATGCCCTGTTTTGCTTCAGTGGGACTATTCACAATCTTTTAGCTCAGCCCAAGGCCTGTTGCTTTAGTGGAATAGGGCCAAATGAAGGAACCGTGTGTGAAATCTTCCCTAGTGAGATTTTTCCATTGATTTCATATGGTTAGATTTCACTCGCGTTTTATGTATGTGGCACAACAAAAGAGAAAAGAGAGGGGTTAAAAAGCAGCAAGTGACAAGCGAATGTCTCCAAGAGCCGCTCTAATTACAGCACCACAGCATATTGTTTATCAGCATCCCCACACTTTAAAATGGTGATGGGGGCACTTGAACTGAAGCTCATTCAATGATCCTGCTGCCATTTTGAAGCATGGGGACACTGATGCAACAAGGCACAGGAGGCCGCTGGAGCACGCTAATTACTATGCTCCAGCAGGCGTGATTAATTGGAGCAGCCTCTGAACTCATATACAGGCACCCGTAGGGATTTGTCATGTTCTTTTAGTCCCACAATAAACTTCCTCCTACACAGAAGTAATTCTTCAGATGTGGAAGATATACACAGAACATGACAGCTATGCAATGTATAGAAGTAAATCTCCACCCACATTTGCTATTTCAGAGAGGGAGGAGAGTAGGAAGGTGTTAAAATCTTAAAGAAGAGACCAAGGAGATCACCAAGTCATGAGACACTTCTTTGTAGGAACTGTGAGTTTGGTGAAAAGCAGGTATTCAAGTAACTAGGGAATGGAAGAAGTGCTTATGAATCTGTCCAAGCACTGTGCTCCTCTCTACCTCATAAAACTTCTCCCCAGAACATCTCTTGGAATTTAAGGATGGGTCATTTTGGCTGTGCTCACACCTCATTAGTCTTTGCTATCTCTTATCATCCAAACAACATTTCTACTCCAAGGCATTCTGGCAGAAAGGTAATTTTAAGATACAATCAACAGATATTCTCACCAGAATCAGTGTGTTTTCTATGGAATTGAATACTGCTTAATAGAGTAGGGTGACAAGGTCTCCAGAACTCCCTTCTGTAACTCTACTTAGGAAACAATCATGAAAAGGATCCAATCACCCCCTTCCCAGCTAGGAGACCTCACAAATACAACATGTGGGCATGTCTACAGGTGCAATTAATGTGCATGAATAAACTCTGGAATTTATTGTTCTGGAATTTTTTTTTCTCCTGGGTGTGTTGTTTGAACATGTGTCTGGGAGCAAAAAACTCTGGAGCATATTGCTCTGGAGTTTATTTGTGTGCAGCACATGGAGCCTGGTCAAAGCAGCCTGGGCTGGCAGGGGACTCTGTAGAGGTACTGGCTGAGGCATGAGAGTGCTTCAGCATGAGGGCTTCGGTGCCTGCCAGCTGCTCTGCAGCACATGGAGCCTGGTCAGAGCAGCCCAGCTGGCCCCATTGTCATCTACTTGGGCACTGCGGTGCAGAAAATAACACTGCTGCAGGGTAGTACTTGTGTTTACCCAGACTACCCTGCAGCAGCATATATCAGTCTACCGTGACCTAATAGGCATGCCAAATGTGATTGCAATGGGAATAAAATAAATGTTCCTTCTGATTCTGGATAATAAGTCATATAAAATCCAAAGGCTTATAGAATCATTGCTCTGTGTAAAAGGAATTTGCTGTATTTCCCAAACTTAGTTATCCATTTCTTCAGACTATGAAAGTGGTGGTGGTCACTTTAATTAGCTTGTGGGAGTACCCAAAGGTTGCATTTTGTAAGATGATGTACAAATATAGAACAGGAAATCCCTGCCACATGCAACAAGTATATTACAAATCTCAGAAATGAGGTTTACCCCAAAATAAAGTGTTTTCTGTTATGAAAAATGTCAAAAGTTCAAAAACTAATTTTTGTTTCACATCAGAATACAATTATGAAATTAAATTTTGCACAATGGGGGGGGGGGGGGAGAGAGAGAAAGAGAGAGATTCATCCTAGATTCATCCTAGAATATGAAATAGCTTGGTTGAAATCACCAAGACTGTAGTAAATGTATGTTTGTATGTCTGCTCTGAAGCAAACAGAGCTTTGATCTTTGACTCCTTGCAATGAAACCTTCCCAGTGAAAGTTCTGTCAGCAATCAATGTTTCAATGAAAAGTTTTGTTTCAATAAATTTGCATTTTACAAAGAAAAGACCGTTCATTAAAAATTCCCAGCTAGCTGTAGGCAGAAGTTTGGGGCAAAAACAGACACCAAGGAAACAACCTTCAGGGTTTGAATTTAAAACTGGATTATGGTGGCTGGTCACATGAATTCACCTATCAAAGAAGTGAAGCAAGTTAAAGTGACTTTCTTAAATAATCAAGGGCCATAAATGTCATACATTAGTAGTCTATCCATCAAAGCAATTTATGTATAATTTCAAAAAACAAGTAAAGAGAGAATTTTCCCAATTTGTTTACAGCCAACAGAGCAAAGATAAAATTTATTGATATATGTAACATAATATGATATTTCTCTTGGATCTAGAGTATTCCAGCTAGTACAATTACCATTTTCAGAGAGGAGGTATAATCCTCTGCACTGTTATATAGTTTTTGCTTTATTCTAGTGTGTAAGTACTGAAAACACTGATCTAGCCATACCTCTGGATTACTGCTAACAATAAATTTGCCCACCACAACAGGTAGTCACTTAAGCTATGCTGCTCAGCACACTAATGCATCATTCTGGTTTAATATCACTGTAAAATACTATTACTTATTGCTGTGGCATCAGTTGTGGATATATTCACCAAGCAATCATTAAATTGTTTCTTCCTGCAGAGTATTTGGGGAAAGTAGCCCATGAAAATAACTAATTTTTACAGAAATATTCTCTGTTATTCTATCCCATAATTCTGCTGTGTCCATTGAGAACCTTGGTTACCTGCTGTGTAAGTGCCAGCTATAAATTTGGAAACTGGGCACACTTATACGCCCTCTCATTTTGTTTTGCAAAGGGATATTAGTTGCTTTCTTGTACCCGTTTTCTTGCTTTCATATGCTTTCTTTTTTTCTCTTTCCTTTGCTTTTGATTAGCTAAGTGATTGATTTAAATAAGGAAAGTAAAATAAAATAAAATAAAATAAAAGACTACTGGTAGTCAATTTCTTCAGTGCTCAGTTTTACACAGAATCCAGCATGATTTAATAGCATTTTCCCAGTTTGAATGTCCCTGCAAATAATGCCCACTTACAAATGAATCATACAATGGTTTCATTTATATGCAAAAACTAATGCAACTTGCCTACATCTCCTATCACTGTTAAGTTTCATATCTACAACTTTGTAACCATAGATGCCTGAATCCTTTTTAATTATCTAGTAATTTGCCTGTTACATCTAAGCGATAAAAGAGTGAAAAAACGTATCTCCCTTAATTTCTTGCCCCTCTGACCATCTAATACCTAAGAAATTCAGTTCTAACTGATCAGCAGCATTTAATGCAACTACACAGGTTATACTTTATGGAATTTACACTGTAGCCGTAAATGTTTATCACACTTTAAGACAATGATGTGTTCCAACAATTGGATCCGCAATATGCCAAATAGAGCTATGCTTTCATTCTGTGAGGAGTACAGATCCATTCAAAAAAATTAAGCAGCTAACAAATTCTATAATATATTATCGTGCAAATATAATGTCTGTTATAACATGTATTAAAGTCACTGAGGCTGTTAATTTAAGGGCACTTAAATACAGTCACAGCTGGCAGTAATGGTTAAATGTAAAAAATGACAGGATTCCGGAACCAGGTGGTCTAAAAAATATCAGATAATTGCAGATCAAGTTGTTTCAGATATTCTCCCTCCTCTTTGCAACTCCAAATTAGAAATAAAATAAAAATCAAAAGAACTATTGCTGAAAAAATATAAACTGTCACTTACCATATCATGATCTGAAACAGGCCCAAAACTGGTGACGAAGATGTCAGTCTTCACTTCAGTTACACGCTCTGATGAAGCAGGAAATTAGGACAGTGAGTGTCTATCAACAGTCTTCATTAGATCTAGCCAACACAAATTCTCACCCAAATAGCAATTTTACTGGCTTTGATTAGCTATTCTAAAATTGGTCCACAATGTGGTGTTCATAATTTATTGCTTATAGATGTAATTTCACAGCTAATATTTTTAGAACCCATTTTAAATGCAGTGTCAAACTACAGTTTTTATATATATGGATTTTTACTAAATGTGTTCAGATCCATTTGTAGACAGGTCAGAGTTCTACTGTTGTTTAAACCTTTCAATTAATTTTTAACTAATAATTGTATTTGTTTTTATAGGAAAAACATTGTTGAATATTTAACTTTGTGCTCATAACTCCTATCTAATATTCCCCAGCAATTGCAATATATGTCTTTAGTAATTAAACCTTTCTTTCGTGTAAATGTATATAATGTGTATTGATAGAATAGAGAAAGAGAAAATACACCATGATGTGTCCGGATAGAAAGATTTTCATCAGCAGGCATTTGACATTGCTGCATTACTCATGAGTTTAATAGACAGGAGTGAGACATGAAACCATTCCAAATAAATATGAATTGAAACCTTGTACCATAGTGTTGCCTGCATTTGCCTCATATTTTTCAGAAATATTTCATGTTTTAGGTTGTTTTTTAAATTATTAGCCATGCTGTTTGAATCAAGTCACCATACCTACTGTCAGAGGGCATGTATAGATGAAACAGGGGCCCTAAATTGAAGTGGTGGGTTTTAAAAAACACCACTTCAATTTAGGGCTGATTAACCCCCGTGTCACGCACACATCCTGCTGACTTACCTGCCTCTCCGGCAGGGAGGAAAGGATGAGCTGCCGACAGGCAGAGCAGTCCCTAGGCTGCAGGGGGTGCTGGTGCTTCCCTCTGCGGCAGCGGTGGCCCCCACCCCCTCCAGGCAGCACCCACCCACAGGAACCCAGCTCGGGTGGTCCCGGGGGGGCACCGTAGCCATGGAGGGAAGCACCCCGCACAGCTCAGGCAAGTAGGCTCCAGGGGAGATCAGGCTTACCACTTCTCGTGGGCGGAGCTCCTTTCCTGGGCTGCTGCCAGGCTGCCTGCAGGGCTTCCTGCAGAGCCCCGGAGCTGCATGGAGCCTGGTGCTTTGCTCTGTGGCTGTAGGGGCAGCAAACTAAAACTCCTCAAAGGAGTTTTAATGTTATAATACATGTTGTACATGTATTATAATACATGTTATAATACATGTTACTCCTCAAAGGAGTTTTAGTTTGCTGCACCCCAAGTCTTTTAAGGAGTATTACGTCGCTGAATTTCCTGCAGCAGCTGGACTTAATGCGCAATATGCCACCGAGGCATGCAAACACCAACACCATTAATAATTAATAATTAATATTAGACTCCACTTAACTCATAACTTAAATTATATACTGGCATAGGCATCTGTCCTTGTCTACATGGCTTCCTAGTCCCAATGTGCATCTCCTGCTTCATTGCATTGTCTCTCCTCCCCAACACTTACTCATGTAACACACTCTGATAACTTTAGTACCCATTTCAAGGATCCTTCTAGCATTACTCAGGTAAGGCTATAGCCAATAGACTTTTAAACTTGTCAGTAGTCTAAGTTTAAATATTGATTATGGTAGTCCTCAAGTTAGTGCATGTTGGGGAAAATTCCAAATTGGGCAGAAAATATATATATTTCAAAGACAGGGTATAAATAAAACTATGGGTTTTATTAATCCATTGAGAGGTTTAAAATATTAAAAGTAATCCTAAAGAAAATAGGCTAAAAGACCTAGTGCAGGGCTTTGAAATATAGTTTCCTCATCCATCTACCTTAATATATATTGTGTATATGTACTCCTTCAAAGTTGTAAAATACTAAAATGGAGAGACTATTAAATTTAATAAAATCTTCTTCAAGCTCAAAATGATTTTGTGTTATTGCACTATGAAGGACAACATCTAATAATACTCACAATTTATTTAAACTCTAAAAGCATAGCAACAAACAAGGAGACTCATGCCTGGGTAACAAATACAGCAGCATTGACAAAACACGTCTGTGCAAAGTTATGAAGAAAAAGCAGTAAATGTGCATGTTTGCATAAATTATTGTGTTGATTTCATACATGATTGCATATTCTAACTGCATAAAATTATATTTTAAAATATGTACTGTTTTTTCTAGAGAGTATTTATCAAAATATAAAATCATTTGTGATATACTCATTCATCACTATTGTAATGAACAACATTATTGCATTGTTTTAGCAAGTCAGTGTAGAATTTACTGGGCAACAAAGGCAAATCTTTAAAAAATTACACACCTAAAATATCAATGGACAATTCTTATTCATATGAAGTATAATATTACAGCTGTAGCTGAATTTTCTCATAGTGCTTTTAAATTCTAAATATTTTATATTTAGGACTGAGTAACATGTAAATAGTACAGTGATTCTATTGACAAAAGTATTTATATGGCAACCTTCCCTCATTAGGCATCCAGTGAAATGAAGTTCATAGTAAGAATTTAACCTCCTACCTTTGAAAGAAGCTTATGATCATTACAAGGGGTATTCAACGTAGGAAAATGTTCTCACTTCCAACTTCTAACTTTAAAAAAAATTCATGAGCTGTAGCTTGTGATCTCATCCAAAGCAGCTCATAACAAAAGCAGTTGTAGAATTCACAGGATGCACAGAAATACCACTGAAAGTTATGGCAAAATAGCATTTTCTTGTTACACTTTAATTTTGAGTGGCTCCTACAGCACTTAACCCCTAGATTGTCTGCACGTTTACACCTCTAAGTGGCTTAAAGCACTCGTTATGCAGTTCAAAGTTGTGCCACTCCAGGGCACAATTATTGTTTGATCTGCATGACCCAGCTCCCATTCTGCGTAACTCAGCCACTCCCCAGAGCTGTGCTGCTCAAGTTGAAGGTGTGACTGCAAGTTAGCAGTAAAATGACAAGCATTTGTGTGGTTCACAGTGTAATGTGTAACAAGGCCCTTAAGCAAAGTATAAATGAGCAGCAGTGTAACTAGGGCAGGGGAAGCAGAGCATCAGCCCTTAGTGCTGACTAGGAGGGGATGCAAGATTTCCACCCCCTGGGTGTCTTTACCATGACAGAGGTAGCCCTGCATTGTCCCTGCCCACCCATAGAAGCAGCCCACACCTGGCAGTGCATTTGAGGGTGAGTGGAATGGTGCTCTTCCCACCTCTCCTCCCCAGCACCACTTTCTGCCCCCTGCCACACCCAGGGAGTTTTTTTCTCACAGCCTTGTGCCAGTAGCATATCTGGGGAGGGGAGCAAACAGGCTCCCATGTATGGCTCCCAGGGAGCCAGTGCCATGTGCCTGCTGCGCTTGACTTTCTCATTCTGCTGCTGCTGCTGCCAGGACTGTCTGCACAGGGAAGGCAGTCAGCTACGGCAGCAGTAGCAGTTGCCGCTGTGTTCACTGTGCAGAGATCCTGATCAGACTTCCCTTCCTCTCATCACACCCCTGCCCCCCTGCTCTGCAACGGTCAGCATGCCAACTCCCTCCTCCCACCCTGGCTGCTGAATGAGTTCACTATGCCTCTGGAAATGAATATTAACATGCAAGTTAATAGTTAATGCAAGTTGTTTGTAAGATGGAAAGCTGAAACACAAACCACTCATGGTTCCCTATTCCATAGAGACCAATCCATTGCTCTTCAAAGAGAACTCATCAGCTTCACCAGGAGGTTGTCTCAAGACAGCAAAGTCTAGCTGCTATGCAGAAGCAAGGCATTCAGCCCCAACAGACATTAGGCCAGAGCCTCAGCTGGAGCGAGATGGCATAGCTTGATTAAATTAATTGAGCCAACTAATTTTCACTACTTAGAAAAATGGCCCATAGATTATGCTGGATGAATTAGCAGCATAGTATGGAGTGTTATTCATAAAATATAAATCTATTATCAGTATTCTGATAGACTTGTGGCCATAATATAGACATTTAGGGGTTAGTGATATACACAGCAGAAGAGAAATGGAAAGTAAAGGTTCCATCAGTGGCGTGACTGACTTCCACACAAATAGAAGAGTGAGCAGTGTCTTTTATATGTAACACTAAACGTAATTTAAATGGTGTGACAAGACCATAAGTAATGACAATATGTACAACTATAATATAATATTGACAGTAATGTGTTTGGACTGACTGGGTTTATGCAGAATTTCTAAATCCAACAATCCTCATCTCACAGATAAGCTGTGTCATTTGAGCAGCAGCACAAATGTCACCGAAGGGTCTCTTCTGTCCTACATGGGCGCACAGCCTCCAGCAATAAAATAATTTACATGAGCACACTAAGAGAATAGGCCCTTCACAATTATTGGGACATTTTAAAATCCTTGTTTACAATTTATCCAATTAGGTGATTCAGCCACGTTTTGTTAAAAGTTCCAAAAGTTATGAGTCACTTCTGAATAGGAAATAAGTTTACAACAACTGACTCATACACTGGGGATATGAATTCAGATTCTATTTTATTTTCATTTTACATTTTGATTGTCATATAATACAGGGGATAAATTTGCATTTATGATTTATTGGGGTTTGTGCTTGAACCCCAAGATCCTGAATTGTACTTAAAAAGTGAACGGGATAGCTTAGATTAGGAGAAAAATTTGAAACTACTGCAAAATTCAAGTTAAGTAATTGTTTTAATAACCAGTGACTGAAAAGGCGTTGCAATAAAAACCTGTTTCCTAAGCATAACTTAATCCAGGGATTAAGGAGGAGGACCATGGGAACTTCTAGGATGGCTATGAAGATCTCAATGCAAACAGGAAGCTCAAATTACTTTGCCTTCTCCCCTTATATTAAATTTGCACACAGGAGAAAGTGAAAAGGGTACATAACACATCAAAAATCAGGACATGGGTGATTATTGATCAGCAAATTTTTAACACCAAATGAAAGTCATGTGCAATTCCAGTGTTAGTCTCAGATA